TAAAACCCACAATATTTATTGAAGTACTTTTATTTTATAGCTGTTTGACATAAATGTCAACAAATAGAACAAAAATGTATTTTTTTTTTAATTAATTTTTTACAGTTTTAAAAGTAATCAGTATTTTTACTTCATATAATTATTTATTTTGTTATGTATGACACTAAAAAAATCTTACTAGATGCCACAAACTATTTTATTATCCTAATTATGTATAAGTAAAATCTTAAGATTGACATCTCATAATTATCTTCTGCAATACACTGTAGTACCTATAGTTTTTATTCGCTATTGAATATCATATAATAATAGACATTTGGTTTTTATTGAAAATTATGGTATTCATTTTCAATTTTCATTAGAATAATAAAAGTTTTAGAACAAAATTTAAAAACAAATTAAATTACGATGTCAATAGGAAAAATAGAATTCGAATTTAGCATAATTTATTTATTTTTAATATAAAACCCCAGCTTTTATAATATAAATATAGTGCTGGTGGTATTTTCGATGTACCAAAATTTCGATTTGATATTTGAATTAATTAAAATATACATGTTTTTTCATTATCCTTGAAAACTAATAAGCTTATGAGAAAAAATATTAACTCTCATTTTGTACAAATTATTAAGATCTATAAATTATATTTTATATTTTTTTATTCATTGAGCGCACATTAGTTAAATGTAATAACGGAAAAACTTCTAATTTTCAATCCCAAGCCTTGACTTGACCTGAAAATTTGTATGGTTTCTTTGAACACATATATAATATATAATAACTTCCCTTGAACTATAACTGAGAAACATCCTATCCTCAACCCTTTAAATATATATTAGTTCAAATATTATGAGATACCTATACTTGATTTCAAAAAGCCAAAATTTGACTTCTGGACTTGTCTTATAGTGTAATGGATTTAAAAAGTAAAGACAAATTCACAAATTTCAGAATATTTGTATAAATTGTTTTACAATAAAATGTTAATGGTGGATTTTTAAAAATTAGTATCTATTTCATAAGTATGAAATAGAATTGTTGAAAGAAGTAATTTCTCTTCAGAATTTTTTTTTTTCTTTTGAGACTGCAAATTTGCTTTGAAGCGTTTTATGATATTCTTATTCATATCAGATTTTAATCTATGATAGTGTCCACTATGCCATATCCCAACTGTACTGAATCTTTTTTTTCAGTTAAAATTTAAAACGTTTTACTCAAGAGGGAATAATTATAATGATTTATATTTTCCTCCCTCCTCTCGATTTTTTTCAAAACTGTATTATACACAAGTATATTAAGTTATACTTGTTTGTACTTCATGGACATTTTTGTTTATACACTCGCTTTTGTTATAAAATTGTCCTATGTACTTGCTTACCGGTATGCCAGTTCATTCAAATAAAATTTTGACTAGCCTATTATGGCATAAAGTTTTTCTGACATATACATATTAGAATAAATTATAAAAAAGTATTTTAAATCAATAAATAAATATTTAAGTATAAGATTATTTGTAAATCCCTCAATTGAATTTATTAACATTTATTTTATGCTATAATTATTTCATTATATAATAATATGACCAGTATTCAACATTAACGCATAATCTTAAATCGTAATGTAACAACTAACAATTAATTTTTTAACAAAAAAAATCGTGCTATAAAAACAATACTGGTTAATAAACACATTGATTTGAATATTTAATAATTAATTTATACGAATTACATTTTTTTTTTACATCATCGTAACAATCAAAGACCTAAACATTTATAATTGTGTAGATAAATTACAGTATAAAAAATAAAAAGTTCTATCAATATAGAATACATATATATAAAAACAGTTTTCTTTAACAGATTAAATATCTTCATAATAGCATATAATACATATAATACAAATTGGCTAGGATTAATTCAAAAAATAAATCTTGGTAACATTTCAAAAACTTTTTACCAAAAATTTAAGTTGAGTACAGTCTATTACTCTCAAACATTGAAAAAATTTCCCTCATTCCCCGTAAATGGGGGAAAATTCCAAAAAAATTCCAAATTTAAAAATCGATAATTTTCGAAATTTTTTTACTTAATACTGACATAACTTTTTCAAAAATTACCAAATCAATATAATTTTTTTTTATTGATGCAACATTTTATTGATGAACATACTTTTGTTTTATATCGGACCATTTCCCTTAATACAGGGAAATTTAAAACTTAAAAATGCATATAGAAAGTAGAACTTTTTAAACTGTGCTGGGTTGGTTTTTTTATAAATACCTTAGGTAAAATTTCCCTTTTATAATTATATACATTTTGTTTTTTGAAAATCTGATCCTTTGCATGCCCACAAGAGGAGATTCAAATATGCACGAAAAATTAAAAAAATTCAACTTAATTTTTGAAATATTCTAGAAATATTGTATATTTTTAACATTGTTAAATTAAAAGTTCTATGAAGCATAGGATTTATAAAACGAATTTCAATGACTTTCAGAATATGTTTAATAACACTATATTCTGCTTTAGTTCGATCTGGCATGAAATTTAGTTCAGCTGTACAGAATACTAACCAAATATTTTTAATAAATCCATACTTACAATTTCGATAAACTTTTCCATAAAAATTTCCATATAATTTTTTTATTATGAATAAATGTTTTCTGAAGAATAAAATGAAAATAAATAAGTAAAAAAAATGGAAATCAGTTTTAAAGTATTTTTAATACTTTTACATGTTTTTTTACTATAAGCAGGGATTTTATGAGCTATTAATTAATAAAACAAAATTGAATTTATCATTTTTCAAATTTCTTATAAAATTACCTTTATGTGAGTTGTACTTTCATAATTCTAAATTAAGCAAAAGAAAAGTTATATATCTATACACATTCATATATATTATATTTACTGACTTACTGAACACTCTGAATACATTGTATATATATAAATTATAAACCTAAAAATCAGGATATAATTAAGAAAATATCTTATTGCTTTTTGAAAAATCCAATAAATCCTTCTTATAAATTAATACTATATGATATTAATTTTAATTGCTGTCAGATATCATTTACACTTGTTCTAACTATACGGCAAACCGACTGTGTTGTTTTTTTTTCTTACTAGAGATTAATAATAAAAAATATGCTTTTTATGTAGTTTAAAACTACGTTATTTAAAAATAATTGTATTATAACCTTTTTGTTGGATCAAAAATTATTAAAAATGTTAAAATATTGTGTATCACTCTGTATTTTGTTTTCAAAGTACAAAACATTCTTATTTTACAAATAATTTCAGGTTCTTTTTCAACAGATACTAATCATTAAAAATTAATTTTTATCTTTATATTACTTTTACAGAAACATATTATCACAATATGTACCTGTTAATATGATCATTAATGCATTAGTTTCTCAAAATGTTTTAAGCAAAACTATTACTACCAAAGATTTTACTGATACACAAATAAAAAAATTTAGTTTAAGTAAATAACACATATAACATTTATTTTTAATTTTCAGATGTAATTCACTTAAAATTTCTATTATAAATTTAACAATCGGAGATCATGTAGCTTTTGGAATAATTCACCAATTTTTAAAAATTAAACACTATCTACAGATTTGGGTCGAAGCGTTTATTATGATAGTGAATTTTACTCAATTTATAGCGAGTATAAAATACTAGAAATTATGTAAACACAAAATTAATCACAAATTATTTTTTAAAAATAATAATTTGGTAAAAATTTTAAGACTGACATCAATACATATTAAATAAAGTTGTCCGCACAAAACATTTTTAATTCACTGTATGGCATTTTCTTCAAGTGGTAATTTTTCCTACTGATACCCAAAATTAAAATATCATTTGATGAAATGTTGAAATCCTGTTTGCTAAATACCATTGATATTTAAAAATATTTCATATATTTTTTAATAATACAACAGCAGTTCATTATAACGAGACGCACAAGTTATTATCTTTATTTTTATTCGCTCTGAAAATGTCTTGCCAAAAAAAAGTAACTTGTCTTATATTCATTCAGTGTCACGAAAGGCGAATAAAATAATATTGTTCTGTTTAGTGTGCATACTGAGAATAATTTACTGTGGTTACATATATCATAAAACCCAAACATGTTCAGGTGACATGCATACTGTAAAGAACATACATAATTTGCTATTCTTTTTTATATTATTAAATATTTTATACACGTATATAATAATCAAAATAAGAATCATTGGCAAACCATAATATTTTTATTTTATTTTTTCATGCAAGTCTCTTGAATTTCCATGATTTATGTATTTAAAATGGTTTTTCTTCAGTTTGCTTATTAACATACAAACAAGTATACGAATTGTTTATTTTTAATTAAAGATTTTATTTTGACCTAAATATATCTTTATATTTTCCCAGTGAGAATAATTTATTATTATATTAGCACGTTAGTGTTCATATTTGTTGTTGATAAACATATGGAATAATCCGTTTTTCATAAGTTACGATATATCAATATGTATGTTGCCATTTCCCTTCCACAGAATTTTAATTTCGATACGAAGCAGAGAAAGTATTAATTTTATTGATGCGTTTTCTTATGCTTTTAACTTTTTTTGTGTCTGTTACTAATTTTTCTAGGCTCTCGCTGGAACGATTTTTTTCAACGATAAATCAAAAGATCACAAATTGTATATTGTTGAAGATACTATCATCAAAAGTTGAAAAAAATCTATCACTCCACGTAAACAGAAAAAATCACCAAAAGAATATTACTTTTGAGATAAGTAAATTTTCGACATTTTTAAAACAATTTTTACTTAATACTGTCATAACTTTTAGAAAATTAATTTTCCTAAATTCCAAAATCTTAGATAAAATTGTTTCATTGTCATAAAATTAGAGTTTAATTATTGAACTCATATTTATCATATAAACTTTAATATGATAAAAATCATGGTTATTTTAAACTAATAAAAAATATTTTATACATACTGATCAAGTAAAATATTTTATTTAAAAAAAAAACAATAGTATAATATACAATCTAATTTATAGTTTTTCAGATTCATTGGCATTCAACAAAACAAAAATAACATTACAAATATGCTAGCATTAATATTTAAACAATCAAGTTTTAAATATAGGTAACGACAAGCTAATTTTCTCTATTATTGACTGACTGAAAAATAAACTTACAGGAACAACTATTAAAAATTAGTTATTTTTTAATTGAATGATAAAGTAACAAGTTTCTTTATTGAAACATTTTTCTTGCTCAGAATTATTAAATTTGCTCACTATTGTGCAAGTACATCGTAGTCTATTGAGGACAACGGAAATTTTTTCCAGCAAACTTAGCATTACTACCAAGCTCTTCTTCAATACGAAGAATTTGGTTGTACTTAGCCAAACGTTCAGAACGACATGGAGCACCAGTTTTTATCTAAAATAAAATATTATTGGATAGTTGATGAAAATAAAAATATTAATATAATAAAAATTATAAAAATCAAAAACTTACTTGTCCAGTGCTTAAACCAACAACAAGGTCAGCAATAAAAGTATCTTCTGTTTCACCTGAACGATGTGACACCATAGTACCCCATCCATTTTTCTTAGCTAACAAGTGAGCATCAATTGATTCAGTGACAGTTCCAATTTGATTTACTTTCAACAATAAACAGTTACAAGCTTTCTTTTCAACAGCCTCAGCAATACGTTTTGGATTTGTTACAGTTAAATCATCACCAACAATCTAATGAGATTCATTTTAAACATTTTTTACACAATCATATTGAATTATTTTTTTTATCAACACACTGTAGTATAATAAATAAAATAATAATAAATGTAAACACTTATAAAAATGCATATGAATTAAATGCTCAGATAATTTAAAATTTACATCCCAATTTTAAGTTTCATGGTTTTCTTTATCAACCCCTTTCATTTTTTAAATCTTTCTTGAGAGTCTATAAATAACATTAAGCAAACAATTTAAATAATAATATTAATAGCTATAATGTATACCTGTATGTTCGTAGAGCCAGTAAGTGATGACCAAGCATCCCAATGATCTTGATCGAATGGATCTTCAATAGATACAATTGGATATTCTTTGATAAATTCCTTATAAAGGTCAGTCAATTGTTCAGTAGATATAATCTGATTTTTATCTTTGGAGTCCGATTTGTTCTTAAAGTCCAAATCATATTTCCCATCGCTTAAAAATGATAAGAACTAATAATTGATTCATCTAAAAGTAAAATTTATATATACTCCATACACATAGAATTCTGAAGCAGCTACATCCATTCCGATTTCAACTTTTCCTTTATATCCAGCTTTTTCAATAGCAGTTTCAATCAAACGCAAACCTTCTTTGTTTTCTAAAATATTGGGAGCAAAACCACCTTCATCACCAACAGCAGTAGCATCTAAACCAAATTTAGCTTTAATAACATTTTTTAGATTGTGGTATACTTCAGCTCCAATTTTCATTGCTTCACTAAAGGAACTAGCACCTAAAATAAATTAAAAAAAAAAAAAAAATGAAATTTTAAATACATTTTTATTTATTTATTTTTTGAGTATAAAATAATTGATTAAGTTTACAATATTTTATAGAATAAAATATAATAAATATTTCTCTTTTGGTAACATACAAAATATCTAAAAAACTATTTTATGTTATTCAATATATTTATATATTTAGTACATAATATAATATATGAAATAATAACTTTCAATTTAAATTAGATATTGTGTTCATTGTTTGTACTCTATTAATTTTTAAAAAATAAAAGTTAAAAATTTGTAAAGTTGGACTATTTTTTATTTTAATTGAAATAGTCTTGGATTTATTGGCCATTGGCTATATTTAATACATTTATTCATTTATATATTTATTAATACTATCACAAATATTTTTATCTTTTCTTTTGCAAATATGTTTACATTATAATAGAGTTGACTTTTTTATTTTTTATTAGTCTTAAATATGTTTCAAAACACACATTTTTTATTAGAACTGTTTTAAACATAAATTAAGAACAATCAACCTTGGTTAAAAGTAATTTGTATGTCATATTTAAACACCTAATTCTTAGTATTTTGTCCATCTCTAACTAACATTATTTATATATGACAACACAAAAAAAATGTTTATGGCTCCACATATATTTAACTTAAATTTATGTAGGAATTAGGAAAATTAATAGCAAATACTAAAAAAGATGTATTATGCTTTTATCCCTCAAGCACTTTTATTTTATCTTGTTTATTTATAATGTATAATGTGTCATGTAAAAATTGTAAAATAAATAAATTTCTTATGATAAAAATATTAACATTTATGTATATTCTACATAATTTAAAAAGTTAACTACAAAAAAGATAAATACATAGTGATTGGATTATTATAAACCGCTCGATTACTCGCAAAATAAATGCAATGTTAGAAAAAAAAAGTTAGATTTTTTTTTAATATCTACATTTCTTGTTTATCAACTTATAATTTTTTTTTTACATCATATCTTATAATTTATAGGGGTTATTATCATTGATAAATCAAGAAATATATGCAACTAAAAGAAATAAAAACTTTTTTTATACATATAATTATCTATTAAATAATTACCAGTTGGGAGAATCATAAATTCTTGCATGGCCAATTTATTACCAGCATGGGATCCACCATTGATGACATTAAAAGCTGGAACAGGCAAAATTATGTTTTTATTTCCAGCTAAATCAGCTAAATGTCTGAAAATAATGATAAAATTATTTTATTTATATAAGCATATGATAATTATAAAATTAAATTATTTAAAATACTATACCTGTAGAGGGGTACATTTTTTTTTGCAGCACCTGCTTTAGCAATAGCTAAAGAAACTCCTAAGATAGCATTTGCGCCAAGTTTAGATTTATTAGGTGTTCCATCCAATTGGATCATGAAATTGTCAACAGCTTTTTGATCCACAACATCAATACCCTGTACGAAAATAATGCGTTATAAAAAGTATAATAATAGATAAAGATGGTTGTTGGTTTGTAACTTTTTACAGTAACAAAATTTTATTTGCATAGTATTTTAACATAATAATGAAGTAATCATTAAATATATTATAACACAGAAAATTTTAAAATACATACATGTACATTAGAATGATTCTTAGATAAATACGTTAGTTAAAAAAAAATTCATTAAACACACTAAAATTGTGTCCATTAGGTAAAAAAATCATTTGTACAAATTTTGGTTCAAATTGAGTGACGTTAACATGTGCCACAAGTTGGTTAAAAAATCAAATGTAAGGGTGGATTTTTAATAATCATCACTTATATTACAAACCACACTATTTACAAAAAAAAAAAAAAAAAAATGATAGAATTTAATTTAAAGAACTAAATGTTTGCCTTAAAAATATTATTAGCAAAAAGCCATATCATAACACTATGACTTAAAAATAAAAATAATTATATAGTTTTAAATTAAACGTTGAAATCAATTTTATTTGTTTAAATATTGTAATCGAACTATTTGAAAAAAATTTCATATAAAAGTTGTTTAGAATTCAATTTTTTATTTTTATTGTGTTTTATTTTTTTACCAAACGTAGTTTAAATATTTATGTATTAATGTACAAAAATATTTTATTCTTAGAAATATAGAAAAAAAATACTAACAATTAGTGCTATAAAATAAGTTCTATGATTTTTGCTGTAAAAAATATAGTTTGAAAAAGTGACGAAAAATCAAAAATTCTACTGTAAGAGTTAATTTCTAACTCGTATTTTAACATCATTCAACTTCAATCAAATTTTTTTACCTAAAGAAACAATTCTAGAGGGTGTAATGAATTTTATAATTTCATTTTTAAGAACTGCTCTAATATAAATAATACACACGATACAACTGTATATATATATATATGTATATACACACTAGGGTGTCCCTTATTTTGAAAATTTTGGAAATTCTTCGGGCTCACCCCCCAAATTTATGTGTATACATATAAAAAGTGGCTACAAAAAATTCCAGGCCGATCAGATAAGTTTAACCCGTGCCGACTTGGGGTTGAAAATCGGGCAAAAGGGGTACTTTTTTAGTTTTTAGCAATTAACTCGTAAATTAGCACTCTTACAAAAAAAAATATTAAAACTAAATTGTAGATCTAATTGTTTTGTATAAATTAAGTCCTTACAGTTTTTCTTTTAAGTCCATTAGTTTTCTAGAAAAATGTCAAAATATATAATATTTCGTAAAATTGCCGAAATTAGCATATTTACGAATATTTTATCATATATGACGAACCATATGTGATACGACCTAATGTTTCATACAAAAATTGTTTAAAATTAAATTTTACGAAATAAAAGTATTAAGTACAAATTTCATTGAACCGATCGTTTTATTGCTATAGCTGAATTAACTCGATCATATTACGATTTTTACTAAATATATGAATTTTAATGCTAGATTCTGTTAGTTATCATCTGGTTCATTACAACACTTATCGTACAAGTACGGCGATAATACTATGGTATGACTGAATTAATGTATTGTTATTATTTTTAAATTATAAATAACTCTGGAAATCGTAAATTTATTACAAATCGCAGCAATAGATATAGTGAACTTATACTTATACCACTTTAGTCGCTCACATCGCGTATTAAGTTGAACTGCTTCCTATTGTGTTTTTCTTTTAGTGTACGTAAAAATGTCCGTAGTATTAAGAAATGACAATAAAATATTTTTAATAGGGTCTTTGACTACTCAAATTTTAGGTTCAAAACTTCCATCCATTGGACAAGTTCTAAAAGTTTTTTTTTATAACCTAAGAATTGTTAATCTTACTATAAGAGCAAAAGCAGTATTGACTATTCGCGAGTGTAATATTTTCTGGGAAATGGACGATTCCATTTCAACCGAAATAAAAAAATTAATGGTTGTATCCCTTAATAATGAGTCAATAATAAACCCTAGTAAACGTTTTATTCTTTCATCGGTTCATATTGACAAATCATTTTCATGTATAATAATTTTTGATATCTTTATTTTTTGATGACTATTGAGTGATTGATATTTTTTTTTAGAAAAAACTGTAGCTTCTTTTTTGTCAAAAAGCAGTATGAAATTTTTTAAACGATTCGATATCAATACTAATTTTTTAAATTTGGATCCAAGTAATTGGAATACTGATAATTTTTATTTACACGAAAAAGAAATTGTATGTTCACTTAAAGTAGTAAATGACTCTGCAGATAAAGCGGTTAAGGTAATGGAAGATTTTCATGAAAGTTTAACTGTAAACGATGAAAAAGCTGAGTTACTTTTACACTGTGTGTTCAAGAGCATAGAATATTATATCCTAATTGCAACAAAAAAACATTAAAACATAGTTTTTAATGTATATTTTTGTTATAATTTGTGAATTATTTTGAATTTAACATTTTGTATTTTATATAGTAACTTTTTTTTAATTTATACAATAATATTGAGAAGTAAGTATCATTATGAATTTAAGTCAAACAAATACATCACTTTACAATATAAAGGAAATATATTTAAATTAAGCAATAAAATTCATATATTTAGTAAAAATCGTAATATGATCGAGTTAATTCAGCTATAGCAATAAAACGATCGGTTCAATGAAATTTGTACTTAATACTTTTATTTCGTAAAATTTAATTTTAAACAATTTTTGTATGAAACATTAGGTCGTATCACATATGGTTCGTCATATATGATAAAATATTCGTAAATATGCTAATTTCGGCAATTTTACGAAATATTATATATTTTGACATTTTTCTAGAAAACTAATGGACTTAAAAGAAAAACTGTAAGGACTTAATTTATACAAAACAATTAGATCTACAATTTAGTTTTAATATTTTTTTTTGTAAGAGTGCTAATTTACGAGTTAATTGCTAAAAACTAAAAAAGTACCCCTTTTGCCCGATTTTCAACCCCAAGTCGGCACGGGTTAAACTTATCTGATCGGCCTGGAATTTTTTGTAGCCACTTTTTATATGTATACACATAAATTTGGGGGGTGAGCCCGAAGAATTTCCTAAATTTTCAAAATAAGGGACACCCTAATACACACACACACACACAAAATAACTTTTTAACTATTAGAGAAAACCTTTGAAACACAGTCCTATTATGTAAATTATTACAAGTAATTTAACCTATGAAATTTACTACCTTTAAATTATTAGACATGATAATAATTAAAAATGCAATATTTACAGCTTTAATTAAGGCAGGTGCAATTATTGAGTTGATGTTGTTAACAGCTGTGTTAACACCTTTTCCGAGATAATTGGATTTATCATTGTCACGGAGTTCCAAAGCTTCATAGATACCTGTGCTAGCACCTGATGGTACAGCTGCTCTGTGAATTTGTCCATCTTGAGTAAATAAATCAACCTATGATAAAATTAAAAATTAATATAATATTAGATACATTTTATTTTTTTTTTAATTAAGATTATTGACAATACTTTAATATTAAATAATTTGGAAATACAATTTAAATGAATAAATTATATAAGTAATAAAATAAATAAAATGATACAAAAATAATTGTTGAATAAATTTATTCTAAGTATTACGTACTAAATACTATCAGTTTAAGACTATATTTCAATTATATTTTAAATATTTGAAAACTTAAATATTAATGTTAATAAAGTTAAATATGGGAGTAATATTTAATGAAAAAATATTATTAAAAGTGTTCTAAATTTATTTTCTTACTTCAACAGTAGGGTTGCCTCTAGAGTCAAATATTGAACGTGCAATAATTTTTGAGATTGACATTTTGTAATAAGGTTTTTATAGTAAATTATTATAAAGTAATACCTGTGAATAAAATGTATTATTATTATTATTATTTAAAATCTTAACTTAAATAAGTTGATATTTTTTTAATTTAAAATTAAATCATATTTAATTATACAGCGTAATTATTTAACTACACGTCACAAAATATCTCAAAAAATATTAGAGTTAATCATTATTTTACGTTTTTTAACAATAATAGTTCTTTGTTCAACTACTTTACATAAAAATGTGCATAACAAATATGCATTAAAAATACACAATCATATACTTTTATATACTACCCATTCAAACCTCCGTTAGAAAAGCTGTTTCAAAAAAACTCTCATAAGTATGTTAAAAGTAATAAGCATAAATGGTAATTAAATAAGAATATATAGTCAGGATTTATTTCAAGGAGAGTTGTACATAATAACATATAATATTTTTACTGAAATTGTATCTGAAACACATAATAATTATTATTATTATTACTAGGAAATCTATTCACTACATCCCCTTTGAAAATGATTATTTACAGAACTACAGAATATATACAAAAAAATAATTAACAGTTTTAGGGAGAAACTCAAGTGAAGTTTGTTTATCTCTATTGGTAAATAAATTTTAACTTATACAAAAAAATAGAACATAAAAATAATCCATAAAATTTAGTACATTGCTAAATTTGATTAATATTATAAACCTTAAATTCATTGGCACAACCAGAAGAAGAATAGACAAACTAAGCATTCATATAAATTGAGAAAATTATTCTAAAAATTTTGATAAATTAACAATTATTAAATTATTACTGCCTAAGCTTAAACTATAATCATAACATTATAAATATTAAGAAATTAAGAAATTTTGAATTATTAATTTTCTATTTTCTACAGTATAAATGTTATGTTATCACAAAGATAGTAAAGATTTATCAAAATAAATAACTAGTACCATTCAAGGTTAAAATAATTAACCTTCAACATGACTTATTTAAGCTTTCTTTACAAAAATTTAAAAAAAAAAATTTTTAATTTTCAATAAATAATGAATTTATATAAATAATAATTCACGTAACTGCAAATAAAAAACTTTGAACATATAAGTGTCTTAACCTTTCTTTCTAATTGGACCTCATTGTAGCATATGTTGAGGATATACTTATATTAATTATAAAACTACATTACTGAAAATAAAGTCAATTTAGTATAATGTACAACTTCTATTAATTTTTACTACTATGTATACATAGTATGTTTACACATTAGTAATTTATTTAAATAAATAAAATTAATCAGATATTAGTTGACTATTTAATTATTAAAATTAATAGTCAGAATTATAATTAAAACACATTATTTATAGCTTAATACAGGTACTTAAATTTGTTTTATTATAACCAACATATTCAACAATCAAAGAGTTTTATTTTTCTTAATGAAATTGTCTGACAACTTGCATAGTAAAAAAAAATTATGTTAACAATACAGTTTTGGACATTTTATGTATGCAAATTGAGAAAATTAAATAATTTATATTTAACATATTTATAAAGTATAATATATTAATATAAAAATAATATATTAAAAAAGTTTCATTTTTTATTAGATACATGCTGTGGCACCGTTTCAAATTAGTAAACAATTAATTTACGTATATGCAATTACACATTTAACACATTTAAAGTGGTTCAAAATTTTTGATAATTCATTGATTAAAGTGGCAATTTTCAGTTTTAAATTGAGTACTTTTTAGGTGTATATTTTTAAGAACTATAATCGTTACTATATTTACTAGAATAAAACCGTAAATTGATTATAAGATGGGTTATTTTTATTTAAAATGTACTAAATGAAACAGGTGTTTCTGCTAAATATTATCACGTTACAAAAACATAGATTAAACAAATATTAAGCAAATACTTACAGAATTTCAGCTGTCAAACAACGTACGCTACGAGAAGTATCGATCGAAATCAGAAAATGGGTTGAAGATGAGAGCACGATCGGCAAATCTAGAAAATTGAATAATTCGTTTTGACCTTAACCAGCTGAACAAGGTCATTATTCTCAAACAGTGTTACTAACTATAACTATTGGAAATAATTTATTGCCAACATCAAATTCTAGTGATTAATGTTATCATATTAAAAATCTAAAAACTAGTCTGAATATTGATGAAATCTATTCTTAATATATAATATATTTATTATGATAATAGAATTTATTAAAATTAAAATATTTAACCAAAGATGATATTAAATATGTTATTTATTTATATATTAAACGGAACTTGCCCAATACAATATTAGTAAATTTATTAGTACATAACAATTGAAAAAATGTATTTACAATAGACTATTTAATATGTTATATGAGACACCTTAAAGTATGTCTTAATTTGAAAATTAATTGACAAATTTATCTATTCTTAAGTTAAAAATAAGAGTTTATAATTTTTTAAATTATTCTAGTTGTAAATTGGTCAGAAAGTTATAATCAGAGGAGCAATTAATATAAGCAACGTTGAATAGAAAGAGAAAGACAACAAAAATGAAGATTATATCCAGAATTTAAAACAATTTAAAGAGTAAAAAACACAGTAGCAAAAGGCTATCTAGAGCTAAAAGAGTTTCTCTCTTCAATATTTTTTGTTATAATGATGTTTATAATATTAATTTAGTTAAACTGTAAGTTAAATTTTAATGTTAACTGGTTTTTTTTTTTAAATAAAAACCTTAAGACGTAATTTTGCAGTTTAATAAATAGAGAAATACTAAGTATTCAAAAACAAAACTGCTTAAGAAAAAAAAAAGACAACATATACATATAATGAACCCAGAATTAAACTATTTTAAAACAAATAGCCCGTCAAAAAAATCAAATAAAATATTTTAGTAATTCATTATTAAGAATTGAATACTTAAAAAGTAAAAATAATATAAATGATAAAATATGTGTAACACATTAAGAATTATTCCAATTATTATTTTTATAATTTTCAGTATAATTAGAATGGAAATGAAAAGTACATTTAATTTTACCATTAAAATTCATAGATTATATTTAAAAACAAAATTAATCTTATAATTTTACAACTTTTTTTTACACATTATTCTAAATAATCCTAACTTAGAGAAATTATTTTATATATTAATGATCAATGTATAGAATATATTGCATAGGATAAATTGTTTTACCATAATCCACTAAACTACTTACAGAACATTTTTTTTTTTTTGGGGATACCTTTAGTTTTATATCTAATAAATTAATAAAGTTAAAAATTTAAATGAAATTTACTATTAAAATAAAACTTTTTATTTAATTCAAAATATGTAATCCTATTTCAAAAAACAAAAGCATAAAGTATTACATAGTGAATAATTAAAAAAAATATATAACTGAAGGTAACCAAAAAAAAAAAAAAATGTTTAAATTATTTATATTCTCTAAATAGTTTGGTGGGTATGATAAAAAAAATCACCTTATATAATCTTCTAAAGAAATATGCTTAGTGAGCATAGCTCAATATTTATATATAATAAACTTGTTTCACAATATATATTTTGTTATTATACAATAATTTTACCGTGAAACTAATCAATTTCATTATAAAATAATTAAAAATCATTATTCATAGGATGATAATTGTGAATGCTGTGAAGACGGTGGTAACATTAGAAAATATAGCTTACAATTCTACTTACCATCACCAAGTTCCTTTATGATCTAAGTCTTTCTTGTTAATTGTTTATGATTTTTTATGTAATTGTTAAATTTATAATAGAAATTTTAAGTGAATTACATCTGAAAATTAAAAATAAATGTTATATGTGTTATTTACTTAAACTAAATTTTTTTATTTGTGTATCAGTAAAATCTTTGGTAGTAATAGTTTTGCTTAAAACATTTTGAGAAACTAATGCATTAATGATCATATTAACAGGTACATATTGTGATAATATGTTTCTGTAAAAGTAATATAAAGATAAAAATTAATTTTTAATGATTAGTATCTGTTGAAAAAGAACCTGAAATTATTTGTAAAATAAGAATGTTTTGTACTTTGAAAACAAAATACAGAGTGATACACAATATTTTAACATTTTTAATAATTTTTGATCCAACAAAAAGGTTATAATACAATTATTTTTAAATAACGTAGTTTTAAACTACATAAAAAGCATATTTTTTATTATTAATCTCTAGTAAGAAAAAAAAACAACACAGTCGGTTTGCCGTATAGTTAGAACAAGTGTAAATGATATCTGACAGCAATTAAAATTAATATCATATAGTATTAATTTATAAGAAGGATTTATTGGATTTTTCAAAAAGCAATAAGATATTTTCTTAATTATATCCTGATTTTTAGGTTTATAATTTATATATGTACAATGTATTCAGAGTGTTCAGTAAGTCAGTAAATATAATATATATGAATGTGTATAGATATATAACTTTTCTTTTGCTTAATTTAGAATTATGAAAGTACAACTCACATAAAGGTAATTTTATAAGAAATTTGAAAAATGATAAATTCAATTTTGTTTTATTAATTAATAGCTCATAAAATCCCTGCTTATAGTAAAAAAACATGTAAAAGTATTAAAAATACTTTAAAACTGATTTCCATTTTTTTTACTTATTTATTTTCATTTTATTCTTCAGAAAACATTTATTCATAATAAAAAAATTATATGGAAATTTTTATGGAAAAGTTTATCGAAATTGTAAGTATGGATTTATTAAAAATATTTGGTTAGTATTCTGTACAGCTGAACTAAATTTCATGCCAGATCGAACTAAAGCAGAATATAGTGTTATTAAACATATTCTGAAAGTCATTGAAATTCGTTTTATAAATCCTATGCTTCATAGAACTTTTAATTTAACAATGTTAAAAATATACAATATTTCTAGAATATTTCAAAAATTAAGTTGAATTTTTTTAATTTTTCGTGCATATTTGAATCTCCTCTTGTGGGCATGCAAAGGATCAGATTTTCAAAAAACAAAATGTATATAATTATAAAAGGGAAATTTTACCTAAGGTATTTATAAAAAAACCAACCCAGCACAGTTTAAAAAGTTCTACTTTCTATATGCATTTTTAAGTTTTAAATTTCCCTGTATTAAGGGAAATGGTCCGATATAAAACAAAAGTATGTCGAATGAAAGAGGTATAAAAATATTATTTCTCATAAAAAAAATTGTATTGATCCATACATTTTTCAAAAAGTTATATTATTTTAAAGTTAAAAATGTTGAAATATTTAAAATATAAAATCGAGAATTTTAACACAAAAATAGCATAGGTAGCCATTTTTACCGTGAAGATAAAGTCCGAAATTTTTTTTTTTTTTTCATAATAAAGTATATGACATAAGCTTTAATTTAAGGTATATATAAAAGTGACAGTATTTCTGGAACACTTTTAAAAGTTAATTTTTTATGAAAAAGTTTTCATTTTGAATCCCCCCTGTGGGCAGGTAAAGAGTCAGATTTATAAAAAAATATATCAAATGATAGGTAAAGACATCACGCATCAATAAAAAAAAATTATATTGATTTGGTAATTTTTGAAAAAGTTATGTCAGTATTAAGTAAAAAAATTTCGAAAATTATCGATTTTTAAATTTGGAATTTTTTTGGAATTTTCCCCCATTTACGGGGAATGAGGGAAATTTTTTCAATGTTTGAGAGTAATAGACTGTACTCAACTTAAATTTTTGGTAAAAAGTTTTTGAAATGTTACCAAGATTTATTTTTTGAATTAATCCTATCATTGAAAAATCTTGGTACATCGTACTTGATTGTATTGGACTATAAAGTTCTATTTATAATTTACTACTCATAAATTTAGATGTACCAAATCTTAACAAGGTATCATTGATGATTATGTTTAATTATGTATTGGTTGATTATGTAATAAATAACTTGCTGAAAATTTTCTTGAAACTGGTTCTGGCATTTGAAAAACTGCAACACTTTTTCATTACTATAATATTTTTTCATAAATTCATGAAAATTTCCCACTACTAATTTGATAATACATTACTGTAAATACAGTTTATTTTCGATTAATCATCAAGTTATGAATTTTTTTGAAGTCATTTGAGTAATGAAAAATATGAACAATAAATATTAGCATTATTTTCATTTTAAATTAACTCAGATCAATAGTTTTGAATGCATTTCTATTAATAATTCACTATCCTAACAGCAATACACATACATGTAAAAGAATTTATTATATTTTTTTCTTTTTGATATCAAAATCTTTCTTGCATTTTTTATTATGATTAAATTTGTCGTTTATGTACTATTAATTACCTACAATGGGAAAAAGTAGTAATGAATATTATAGTATTATAGGTGTTGTGTTTTTTTTTTGTCTCTCTTGTAAAATTGCATTTTTGGAAATACGTATTGTTATTGTTGGGTTAGTAATTTTCACTCTTATAGAATGATTTAAAATGCATATTATACCTAATTGCACTTGTATCGGATTAAACAGAAGTCAGAATAGTATCAACTATTATTAGTATTATTCATAGTAAAATACATGAAGGTTATAAAATAAATGACATAAAGTGGGTTCAAATTCAGCAGGACAGAGGTTGTTTATAGCCCTTATATAGGAAACGAATTTATACATTTTGTTTGAATTATTTTGAAGATACAAAAGCATAGGCGCAATATAGGAAGGAGTTCCAAATTTTGTCTTAGTCCCTCAATAGTTATAAAATTAAATGTTTACATGTAACGAATGAATTTTTTCAATTTTTGAGGATAATGTCTTCGATAAGATACAATTTTTTACTTATTGACGTGTCTTTGAAAAAATTGTTCCAGTGAGAACTGAGAAAAAATGTAGCAAACACAAAAAAAATAATGATAATAACACATGAAAAAATTAATATCTTCTCAGCTTTCTCAAAGTTATTTTATAGTTCTTTCTTACACATTTTTGTTTTTATTTTTCTTATAAGAGACAAATAATAAAAAATACTTTTAACATAGTCCAATGAAAATTAAAGTAATGCAACATATTTACTGAATTAAATTTAATATTTTAAACGTTCAATACCTGAATGGCTTAAGGTATTTAAAAAATGTATTTAATTAGCTTAAAATAACGAACATCATTCATGTTCAATGGATTTTACTTTCAAAAGTTTTATTTTTACTTATAACTTTTGGTCAGTTGGGTTTATATTTAAAAAAATGGTTTTAGTTGGACAACCCCAAGTAGTTGTGATAAAGGCGAGGAAAAAGAAGAAGAAAAAAAGGACTTAATCACAAATTTGTAACACAGTTTATTTTTTTAATATTTATAGACTGATTGTTTCATGTTCAATACATATGTATTAAAGTAATACATTAATACAAGATTGAAAACGAAACAAGTAACTATTTTTTTTGTTTCTAACTTTAATTGAGATGTTTTAATCAACATTTACCTTTTGATTATCCTTAAAATGCTAAAGTAAACTTGGCTACTTAAATTTTTAATTTGCAAAAGTTCAATAAATGACTAAAGCTAAAATATTTTTGTATACGATGTAGATTATTTTAAAATATTGTCGTACTTTATTTCTCGGAATGTACCATTGCATTTATGTATCTTAAAACATTCTGGCGTCAGAGATTTAAATTTAAAATCATTTGATTGACATTATTTAATTTGAAATGACTAATATTATAATTATATTTCATAATATATTTATTTTGGATGAATAAAACTAAAATTTAATTCAGTTTGTTTATCAAATAAAAAATTATAAATAACATGTTATAATAATATATTATTTAAGTCCAAAAGGATTTAAAACATATCTCGTAAAGTAACTTTGAAAAATTATTATATCAAATATTAATAAAGACTAATAATTTAAAAAAAAAGACTTCCTAAAGAAAAATTATAAATTGCTATGTAAATATGTTTTTTTAAGAATTAGTTAGATTTCATACAAAAATAAAGTATAATTTACTCCTTAACGTATAGGCTCTACAATTTACTATAATGACTAATTAGAAAAAAATTACACGGCAACTAATCATATAAAATCTCCAAAATTAAATCTAGAATAAATGCTCTTAAATATAAATACTTAGTGATAACATGGCATTGCTGATAACGAATCCAACATATAATCATTACTTTAAAATTAAAACTTCTGAATATTGTTAAGGATTTATTAAAACTACGATGACATTGTAAAATATTCAATGTAATAATTATAAAAAAGTATACTTTACTTATTATTGAAATTTAATTACCATTAAAATACTAAATTCATAGTTTATGGATATATATTTAGAAATAAAACAATTTAAATTAATTAATTATAAAAAAAAAATGACTTATATGTTGGACACTTGGAGGCCAAAACTTGTTTTTACACAATGTATATAAATTTATATTTTTTTTTTTACGGCGTCTGCTAGTTAAACTAGTATAAAACATATTGTGTTGTCTAGAGAAAAAAATTATGCTATTGAAAAAAAAGTAGTTGAAATACTAGTTTGATTTCGAATGCTCATAAAAAATTGGTAATATACTATAAACATAAGTTTATAATAATTAATAGTAGTTACATAAAGTTATGCAAAATTTAATATTAAAATCATTGTATTACTCAAAACAAACTAAAAAAATAAATAAAAATACTCGATGTCCTCGCTTCAAATATTTAACATTTTTTATCAGATTGAAAGATTCTTTTTAACATATGAAAACAATATTAAATCTATTATCAGAAATTTGTGGTTCATCTGGGTAATCATTAATTTACAGTGTTTCAATGCATCAATAAATATAAATATGCATAAATGTACAAATATTTGACTTAATTGAAAAATTAAAAATTATTAATTTTACTTAAATTTTGGTGTTAAATATTTCTATCCTAGGAGGCCAGATTTGGATCACAGGTCGCCTATTACCTATTTTTATCATAAGTCTTATGATAAAAATAGCGACA